TGAAACTGATCACCAAAAACTAAGATCCATCTCAACTATGACGGCACATCACCTGACCCCCACCTACCCTCTTGCTGCTCCATTTTATTAGATTCTACTTTTTTTTCTGTCTCCCAAATAAATATATTTTCCCCAAAGTTGTAAATTCACTTCTCTTATATTTCCTTTTTGTTCTCTCCCCAGCTGAGAGCCAGGTCCCACCAACAAACATTGTGGAACATCAAGAAATTTCAGACAATTAGTCTCACTAGAAACCCAATTCAACACACTCGCTTAGATTTCCACAACTCTGCTCCAAGAGGTGAACCCTACTCCAGGAGCCGAAACCTCACCAAAAACCACAAGTGACTCCAATGAGAAGGAACAAAGGTCAGAGAGGAACTGGAACCTCCCAGTGGGGACAGCAGAGCCTCAAGTTGGACTGACAGGCAAGCCTTTGCCACCAGTCACCAACATGCCCTACATTAGTGACAAAGAAGCCTCTTTACTCAGGGATCATTATTTGTCTTTAAGAGCCCAGGTTCTCTGAGGCCTGAGAGTTTTACACCTTGAATGGCATTGGGTGGCCTTTCCTTAAGACAGTCTCCAGGTGAAAGAGAAAGGTTTGCTGGAGCACCTGACCCATAAATTCTGACCCATTCTGCTGAGACCCTAGTCCACACCTGCCCCTTTAGCCTACATACTTTGACTCCAATTAAATCTACAGGCAAAGTCCAGCCTGCAACTGGGCTCTATAGTGATTCCTCCCACCCATCAAGGCCCAGACATGACTGAGGGGCATAATCATAACCACAGTTTTCTCACACCTGATGTCCTGATGTAGACACAGCAGTCATAAAAACCAAATTTCTATTCACCCTAAAGGTTTTTCTTTCTTTTCTCCATTTTTGAGACCTCCCTTTCCTTGAGTCACTGGGACTCAAACTTTAGTCATCTTTGCTGCCTCAAGTGCTGAGCTGGGATGAAGTAAGGGCACACCCCGTCTCCTCCCTACACTAGACTCAGGTTTCATGAGGGCAGAGGTTTTCACTAATGCTTTATTTTGAAAAGGCATAGATCATTTCCCACGATTGGTACTATATATTCCTGGTCTTTTTTAAACCTGTTCCCACAGGAGGAAGATAAATTCTTTATTGGACTATGTTATGTGTTCTTATGATTACCTCTCCACTCATAAAACTAACCTATATAACAGAATAAAACCATTTTCAATATGGCCTTACCTAGTTCACAGAGGAGTCTGGCTGTGATTTTATAGAAAATGAGGCACTTGTGGGCAATTAGTTATTTAAATATCTTTAAGCCTCCACGTCAAGATTTTTTTTTAATGTCCAGTAAAAAAAAAAAAAATCTAAAAGTGTGGAAAAGGGAACATTTTTTAAATGAAATTCTGAAGCAAGTGCATTCCAAGAAAATGAGTGTAAATGATAGAACGATCTGTTTGAGACATAGCAAAAATTCCCCTACACATATTCTTAGACAACATCCCCACCCAACCTCAGTTGTGAGGCAATTCGATAATATTGTCCAACTTCAGTAAAGTAGAGGTCCTCTGAGAAAAACTGTTGAACTTGAGTTCTGTCTTCAATATTTCAAGAGATGATCTCTGGTATTGTGTTTTCAGGAGAGTAAACCCATCCAGAGTTCTTTCTCTTATAGAAAATCTTCTCCCCCATTAAGTAAAAAGAGTGTAATGAAATATTTGCACTAGAATAAGTTTACCTAAGTTTACCTCCATCCACCGCTGTCTACACAGTCCTTAGTTTTTATCACTGGGCCCCCAGTCTCCTGCCCTATAAAAGTCCTTCCTGCTGTCACCATTCAATAGGATCTGCTGCCCTGTTGACTCCAAGTATGACGTCTTGTAGAAATCACACACTAGTCACCTCGTGGATCTACACATCAGTCACTGAGGGAATCTGACAGAGGGAAAATTAAGACAATGCATCCAAAACTGCAAACACAGCCCTAACTAAAGAGCAGAGTTTTGTTACCACGATCAGGCTGTCAACCAACTCTCTCCATCACGCTGACGAGGTGAGACCTTCCAGCTCCTATGAGGAGGCTTTGTCCATTAGCTGCAGTCAATTCCATGTGTAATTGTGAGTATAAAGCCTGTGAGTTTATGAGGGTCTATATATCTCATCTATAAAATAATGACAATGAAATACATAGCTTCCTAAAACTTTTATAATCATTAGGGAGAATTCACAAAACTAAGGAAAATGTCGATGTTATTACTGTACTAATTATATACATAAAACATGGAGGGGTTATTTACCAACTGAAGTATTTTTTTACCCTCCCAGAATGAGCTTTGTAAGTGGGTCATACAATTGTTCTTACACTGTCAATTAGGTACTATTCTAATTGTAGGTAATTTTGAGGATTTCTTTTTTTTTCCCTGATGTAATACTGGAGTAACATACCTATTAGAAGGTAAAATTAAGTGTCACATCAACTCTCTGTTTTAGATAAGTTGTTGGTGATTTCATCACCTTGCTAAGCTCTGCAACATAACAGAAACCTTAATGAAAGGATCACACATTAATCAGGAAACCCCATCAGCTGCCGAGACCAAAGCCAATATACCACTCACTCATGCTACATTCAGTTTGATCATCCATAAGTAATAAAAGTGTCTCCATGGAAACCAAGTATACAGTGTAATCTGCTCACAGTGAAGGATCTGCTTCAACAAAAAGACTTCAAGCCAAGATTTTGCTGTAACTTAGGTTTACACATCACCATAAACTGATATCATTAAATATGACACCTTTGGAATTTCACAGTCTTGATGATTACAAAAAGCTCTACACATGGAGAGTGAAAGAGAAAAAAAGGGTTTGGAAGAAAAGATTTGCATATGTAGTTATAAAAATACCAAAGCAGATTCCATGCTAAGCTCTGCCAAAAACAGAATAATTACTGTTACCCATCAGCATGCAACCTTGGAATTATATTCTCTTCTCCAACTAGAAGCAGTCATCAGATTATCAAAATGAGGTTATCTGCCTAAACTCAAATAGTCCTTACGTGGAATAAGCACAATGCAATCAACAGACAGGCAGCTATTTCCCTCCCACACAAACTATAATCTTTTGTGAAATATATTTTTAATGAAGAATACATAGTCCTCCTACATGTTTGTCTCTGCTCTCACACTCCCCCACATAAAAGCATACATACATTTAAGGAAAGGGAAAAGAATTTTATAGCTTCTAATATCATCCCCTCCAATGTAGGGCAAAGAATGTTGGCATCCAAACTCATCCCCAAGCGTACCTTTTTCACCTTATGTTATTCTTAGGAAAGTAAAACTGGTTGCCAATGGCTCTGGGGGGATAGTACAATGAAATAATCAAAAATAAGGGATATCACCAATATTTTAATGATTTCATTCTAAATAGAGCATTACGAAGGCTTAATTCTTTCCGCCACTAATAACTCAAACTCAGGCAGCTCTGAATTTTAATCTTTCACAAATTCCATATTATAAATTGCTTGCCATGAGTCATACTGCTTATTAAAAAGCAATTTTTGAAAGGCAAGAAAAGTTTTCTTGCAGGTGAGGTTTCCAATGGCCCTCATTTTTCTTTTTCCTTCAATCATCTGAATTTGAAATGTCTCAAACTGAAACAGTATGACTTCACAGTAGGATAGATTCTTACCATTAAGATAGCCAATTGGAAATGAAGCTATAAAAATACTTAAAAATATCCATACCCACTCAATGGAATCATATGAGGCAAAAAAGATGAGGGTAAAAATCACAATTTTCCATGAGGGTTTTTTATTTTTTTTTTTTTACCCCACACAGCACCTGTTTGAGGTAGGAGGTTCTGGGATATATCTCAGAATTTGGTTCCTAGATGGCAAGCCATCATGAAATTATTTATAGTGACTAGTAACCTTGGTAATCTGTTATGTTTGGTGAATATGCTTTCATTCTGGGGGGAAAAAAAGAAAGAGTAAACTTGGTAAGCTATAACAATAAATACATTTCCATAATAAAAAGTCTTATTAACGATCAGAAAATCAATTTCACTTAAATGTTTAAGTGCCATGATTGCATTACACTAAAGGAGTGCTAAATTTGTTCTAATTGTCATTAAAAAAAAAAAAATCACTGTAATGATAGCCTGCAAACACAGGCAGACCAGAGTTTCTGTGATTACCAAGTGCATCACCCCACCTATACAGAACCTGGTCTTCTTTTCCTCAACAAGAGGTCAACAAGTACTTTTGCAAACAAAGTGATATTGGGGAAAGACAGAGAGGATAAAACAAGATGAGGAAGAAAACAAGGAGAGGGGAAGACCCACAGGGAAAAAGTTTAGGAGATGGACACTAATTCTAAACTCGTGCTGCGGCTACAATAGGGGTAACTAAATCTCACTGCAGTTTAGAAATCTGATTCGTACACGTGTTAGAAAAGTGAGAACAGGAGAAAAATGAGAAAACATTTTTGCGGATTCAGTTATTGTGCATTTCCATACACACACAGCAAGGCACAACTCTACTCTCCAAAGCATGTGGATGTAGGGGCAAATTCCCTTTCAGATTCACCTGCAGACACTTCCAGATTAAGGACAACAGGAACTTCCTACCTGTCACCAGGAATGCTGACCCACCTTTCCATTCCAAACTCCTATTTCTATACAGAAGCCTAACAGTCCACTCCATCATGGAGAAATCTGATTAAATGATTTGAAAAACAAAACCCCAACTAATTAAAGAGAACTCAGTGCCTTCCCTGGCCAACCCCATGGAGAGTCACTTGGTGCCTCCATCGCAAGCTTCTGACAGGCTGCTTTCTCCGGCTCAGGAAATGCACCTTTCCCTCACACACAGCCTCCGAGGCTAAGGAACAAGCTGAGCCAGAATTACCGCTGTTCACAAAAGGAATTCCCCCTCCCTTCCCCCTCCTTCTCTCTCCCCGTTCCTCTCTAGTCCCTCCTCCCAACCTCACGAGTGAATAATATCACTCTGCTACCTACCTGCCTTGATCAACACCGTGAGCCCCTGTCTTCAAGCATTCAGAGAATTTAACAGCCTGGAAATTCCTGTTGTCCTTTCGCTGAGGTCACAGATAAAGCAAACAACAGCCGTGGTTCCCATCAATCATAAGTCACTCACTGATAGAATGTATGGTAGGAGACCTGATGTAAGCAAGTCACCAGAGAAAATACCCACTGATGACGCATATCCAGGCATAAAAATAGTTACAGGGCCCTCAAAGGGATTATTCAACAGCCTACATTTAGACTTTCTTACAAGAGACCTGAAGTCAACGTGCAGCAGTTAAATGGTTGGAGAGACTTGAAGTTTAAGCTTCCTCAACAGACATAACCACAAGGAGCTGGTTTAAATAAGCTCCTGCAATAACAAGCTGTTCAGTAAATTTTAATACAACTTTATAAGCATTAAACAGTACCACCAACTATCTTATAAAATGCCACAAAACCTTTTCTTGGACTCCTGTTCTCCTTAACAATTCATTTTATTTTAAAGTATGCTGCCCAAACATTAATACTTGATCAGTCCAAGAAAAAGAATATTTGTTGCTTGCCACATGATGTTAAGAAAATAACACAAGTTGCAATTCTGCATGTATAGGTTTTTAAAACATGCTTTTTAGCTAAAGTTAAGTTTAATGAAAAGTTGCACAAAGAGATTAATGCTTTGCATAGTGTATTTGCAGTAACACTTTTCCTGAATTGATTTGCTCATCATAGAAATAATTATCATGTGTATTGGATACTCCTACTATGGTAACTTACACATAGTAGGCAGGTAAGCATTTCTCTTGTTTGCCAACCAAATGAATGAATGAGTCAATTAGTGAAATGCTGAGTGAATATATTTTAATTAAGTGACAAGTAAGATATTAACTGAGACTAAAATCCTGCTTTTTTATTTTATGAGGAAAATAACTTTTTACATATGTAATCATTTTAATAGTTTTCAAATCATCTGTTCTCTTTTGCCTCCTACTCAGACATATGCACAGTTACCCTGCAAAGGAAGGTCTTTCGCATAGCTTTCATATTAGAAATTGCTGGATTTTTGCACATATTAATATTTGAATATCTAAAAATGTTCGCTTCTCGGTTTCCTTTAAGCAAATGTGCCGCCGACACAAGGACAATGAAGGCAACAAGCTACAACAGAACCCCAAATTCTACCTCCCAGTTTGAACACTTCCTACTTGCATGCCCTATTTGTTAGTCTTAATCACCAATCCTTGCCTAAGAGTGGACAGATTTTCATTGTTACCCAGTTAATTATCAGCCACAGAACATATCTCTGTGATAGAATTTATCTCAGAGCTTAATGATATTAACTATTCTCACATAATTGGCAAAAATCTATTCACAACATTACTGCAACATAGGGCAAATGTAAGAGCTTTGTTTTGCAGGGTATTTCTCCAGCAACAGTAAGTTGATGACATTTTTCTTCCTCCCCGGCTTGGTTCTCTATCACTTTTCTTAAGGATGATAACACTGCTATAAATACAGGTAAAAATTATTTTTAGTACTAAGGTTTCACAAAGCCTTCACGTTTCTCTCCTGTGCATATGTGTCAACAGTATGTGGCCTAGTTTAAAGAATTCAAGTGGAAATGATCACTGGTGCCCTCTAGTTGATCACTAGTCTCCCAGGCGACTGAAGAAACACATGTGTAACTGTATCTCCCCACCTGAAATATTGCAAAGTTCTTCCCCATCAGCAGTTCAGCAATTAATGCCTGACATAAAATGTGAGGCAATAAAGCCAATTAAATGTAGAGACTTCTTTATTTCATAAAGTTTCCTTATTTACTTCTTTATATGAACAAAGAAAAAAAATGTAAGAAATAGGAAAAAAGCCCACATTGGTATTGGAAAGAGAATGGACTTAAAGTTAACTGACTCAGAAACCAAAAACCTTTCACAAATTATACAGAAGCTTGTGTTTTAAAATAGCTCAAAACTAGACAAGGCACCCAGAAAGAATCAGCTTTCACCATGCACTGTACAGCTGACATCCCTTCCGTCACGGTGGTCATGGTGGAGGCTACTCAGGTCTGAAAGGAGGCCCTTCAGATAACTGTAGAATAATACCAACCTCCAGAGCCAGCACTGTTTCAAATTGTACAGACATAACTATCAATCCGGAGATCACAGATTGAGCTCTTTCTATCAAAAATTATTTCCATCTGCATTCCTGGTCTGAGTAATTCCATGCCTGTTAAGTTTACTATTGACAGAACAGTTAATTTTTCTGAGAAGGAAATGATATTCCTTTACCTTAGATTAAAATTAATGCTATCATTAAAATTATTTAAATCTGTGAGGTTATTTTCACCTACACTGAAGAGTTTATTTTTTTTTAAATAATAAATTTTATTTTTATATTCCCCCATACAATTGCAAATGCCCCATTCTGACCCCAACCCCTCCCCTCCCGGCCCCCACCCCCCAAAAAGTGTCTCTGGTTCATAGTTTTTTGTTGATTTTGATTTTCACTTTCTTATATTTATTCATTTTCCTGGTCCCTTATTTACACTGAAGAGTTTATTCATGCTTTATTTATTGTTTGCTGGTTTGTTTGTTTGTTTTGTTTATACATGCACTGGGTACAGTCAGAAGCTTCATACACTGCTGAGGGGAGCAGCTCTGCGCGCCATGTTCCTCTGGTGGCCGGGAAGCAGCCGGGGATCGAACCTTCGCAACCCAGCGCTCAACCGCTGTGCCACCGGGGAGGCCCTACACTGAAGAGTTTAAACAAGCCTATAAAATTAAGAAATGTTAGAGAGCATTTGCTAACTTAATTTTTTTTAAATATCAAGGAACATGATCACCTGATAAGACCAGATTTAGTTATCTGGGCTGAATGGGGAATGGTATATATTAAAGATTATATTTTGGGGGCCTCCCTGGTGGTGCAAAGTGTTAAGCACCGCTCTATAAAGCTATCTGCAGCTTCTGCAGCACCAGTTCAATCCCCGGCTGGCCAGGGAGCAACCCACACGGCGAGGCAGATCTCTCCTGTCTCACCACCGCTCCCCTCAGCAGTATATTTCAGTCAGTCTGCCTGTTCTCTTTCCTGCACTCTCTGGTGAATCCTCTCACCACCTCACACTTCTGGTCTGAACCCCAGTTCTTGTATGCATAAATAAATAAATCTTTTTTAAAAATTGTATTTTTAAAAAACTGCTTTGTCAACATTAGACTCTCTAGAAGTCTTATTTACATTTATCCTCTTTGTCACTAATAGAATATTATGATGATAAATATTTTTATGTAGATAATTAAAAAAGGGGGAAAATATGCCCCTAGTTCACTAGCATGTGTCATCCTAGGATGGATCCATCACATTGAGACTATAAGGCTAGTTTTCCATTTTAGTCTCAGTATTAAGGCAAGATTCTGTTTTATTTTAATTTTTTTTCATTACGTGCTTGAAATGTCCCCTTCTTTAGTCGCAGCCTCTTCCACTTGGAAAATAAAACTACTTCCTGGAGAGTTTGTGAGTGTGGGGTCAGTTAAGCTATTAGCATTACCCTTCCCCACCTTGCAACTCACCTACCTGAACACATGCACACATACACATACACACACACACAACTATTTCTTGTGATGAGTTCAAACATTGGCCAAGCACCCAAGCTAAGTACATCACAGTCATCTTGAAGTTCTCCTTAGACACAGCTCCCATCTGCTCACCAATGTCTGGTAATTTTATCACATTACCTCTTTCTTGTCTACTTTCTAACTCCACTGCTTTAAACTTCAACATTCCTTCTTGTAAGTAAAAATAATCACTGCCTAGATTCTCTCTGTGCTCCCAAATAATACTTCTCATGACCAGAATGGACTACATTAAAAAATAAATCTGAGGGCCTCCCCGGTGGCGCAGCGGTTGAGCGCTGGGTTGCGAAGCTGCCCGCAGCCTCTGCAGCGCCGGTTCGATCCCTGGTTGCTCCCCAGCCACCGGAGGAGGGTCCCACATGGCGCGCAGACCTCTCCTGCCGCCCGCTGCTCCCCTCAGCAGTGTACTTTGGTCCTTCTGCCTGCTCTGCTCCCCGCTCTGGCTCTGGTGAATTCTCTCACCCTCCTGTGCTTCTGACTGTACCCAGTGCTTGTATAAATCAATCAATCAATCTTGAATAAATAAATAAATAAATCTTTAAAAAAAAAAAAAAGATCTGAGGGGCTTCCCCGGTGATGCAGTGGTTGAGCGCTGGGTTGCGAGGCTGCCCGCAGCCTCTGCAGCACCGGTTCGATCCCAGGACACCGGTCGAGGGTCCCACGTGGCGCACAGACCTCTCCTGCCGCCCGCTGCTCCCCTCAGCAGTGTACTTCGTCAGTCTGCCTGTTCTGCTCTCCACTCTGGCTCTGGTGAATTCTCTCACCCTCCTGCGCTTCTGACTGTACCCAGTGCTTGTATAAATAAATAAATAAATCTTAAAAAAAATTTTTTTTTAAAAAAATAAATAAATCTGACTATGGCACTCACTGACTCAAAACCCTGCCATGGTTCCTGGTTGTATTGTACAAAGGCTTGTGTCAAAGTGTATCCTACAGTATCATGATTATTCATTGTGTGACTTAGCTGTCTATCTGATAGGGAGTTCCTTGAGTCAGACTGTGTGGCACATTTGGTGCATCTCCAGCCCCAGTAGAGTGAGTACCTGGCACATGTGTTTACCCAAAGTGGACTGACTGATAAGAAACCACATTAATGATGTTAACCATGATGTCCAATTAGAATAGAAAGAGAGCAAAAGAGCTCTTCAAAATCAAAGAAAACTGGGCTTAATCCATAGCATTATCTTATCTTTGGCAATTACATAACATCTCTGAACCTTAGGTTTCCAATCTACAAAAGGGTGTTAGTATAAAATGGAATACCATCCATTATGTGCTGTCTATGATAGTAGACAGGTATTAAGATAGTAGACAGGTATTGAGAAGGTATTAAATAAATGGTAGCTATTATTATGTCTTAGGTGGCAGTGTCTAACAATGTAATTTCTAATGTGTAATTATACACACATATCTGACATCAAATTATCTATATCAGCACTCTCAAGCAGACACATATAGCATAGACATATAGATATGAGGCTATTGACATTTTAAATTGCTAGTGTGAATGAGGAAGTGATTTTTTAAATTTTAATTAATTTAAATGCAAATAGCTCCACAAGACTAGGGGAAGAAGGTCTGTCTTCTCAGTGCAGATTTATTTCAACTCTGACATTAGGAGTTCCTCCTGCCCTTGGTGCCTATCACTTCTTCTTTCCCCAAATCCACCTTTTTTGCAAGATTCAAGTGTCAATCAAAACTGACCTTCTGTTAAATAAATCAGACCCCAGTGCTTGTACTTTTCATTTCCGTATGCATGCTGACTCTACCACCAGTAGAAGGGGCTCTGCTTAAGAGAGACTTGTGATTAAATAATCCGCCTTATTGACAGAGATTTTAGTGCTGGAAATATGAGACAATCACATAACAGAGTTCCACAACAGTGCTGATGTTCAATGAATGACTGTATCAATGAAGAAACAAATGAAGAACTCCCAAGACAACAACAGACAGATAACAGTGGCAAGTGCATAGCATCTGGAATCAGAAGACCTTGCTTCAAATCGTAGCTATGCCGTTCCCATTGCATAAGGTCTTGGAAAAATATCTTGACCTCTCATCTGAGATATAATGACAATATTAATTACAATTCACTAATATTCTATAATAATCAAATGAGGTAAAACAGACATAGAAATATTAGTGCATCTTATGTTTGTAGAAGCATTATTAACAATAGCCAAGATATGAAAACAACCTACATGCCTCAAAACAGAGAAGTGGATCAAGAAGATGTGGCACATACACACAATGAAATATTACTCAGTGATGAAAAAGATAAACTCATGCCATTTGTGGCAACATGGGTGGA